CCGCCGCCGCCGCCGCCGCCGCCAAAGGGGCCGGATCCGCGCTGCGCGGGCGACCGGCGAGTGGGCGGGGCCCGGATTGGGGCGGGGCGCCAGACTCCCTTCCTGCTTGCACCCCTGGGTCTAGTGCTTGCCCACAGGAGGGTGGCTGGCCATCTGGAAGGCTGGTCGCTGTGCCACCCTGAAGCTCCACTGGGCCGGGCGCCTTCTCTGCCTTTCTGCCTTGTCCGCTGTTTTCTTCTCCTGCCCAGCAAAATGTCTGGCCATAGCAGGCTCAAGACACATGTTTTTTAAATGAATGAAGGAGGCAGACAGATCTGATGTATGTTTCTTCCACCACTATCCCATATGGGCTGTGTAGAGGCTTCTCTTCACCTTGTTTATTTTGTCCTTGATGAAACACGAGGTGAGGAGCTTCTCTGGCCGGCAGAGCGCTGTCCACCTGAAAGAACCTTCTCAATTCTGTCAGCATTGGGCACTTCCAGCTCCTCACCCGCCCCTGACCTCAACATCAGGAAGTCTAAATGCGTGAGATGGAAGACCGATGAGGAAAATGAATTAAATGATGATATTCAAGAAAAAACACAAGAATGAAGGCAAGAACACACTAGACAATTAATTACCTATGAATACCTCAGAAAATTTGTGTAGGTGTGGGTAGGCTAGCATATAAATAGAATGACCCCTGCTTCATGAGACTTTTACAGATCACTGGTAAGTGGCAGTGAATGAAAATGATTACTAAAATAGTTAATATTTGCACAGCCATTCTACACATAAAATAATAACAACACCTAACATTTACATAGTGCTTACTCTATGCCAGGCATTCCTTTAAGTATATTATAAATATATTTATTATATGCGTATTAAGTCCTCACATTAGCTCTAGATGGTGGCTGACCTTTATTATCTCAGTTTTACAGATGAGGAAGCTGAGGTATATAGAGAAGTGACTTGCACCCATGATGATACAAGCTCACAATTACATGTCACAGGTCATACAAATACTAAATGTTGGAGGTGGACTGGCATCTACAAGGTTATCTCCTGGAGAGAATTTAGGGTACAAGTGATGTTTTGCCTAAAAAAGACTAGGAAACAACTCTGTTTTTATTAAACAGGGGAAATCAAAGTAGATATTGAGCAAATGCTTCAAGGGGAACCAAGGAGAGGGATGATTGTGTCTTCTTTGTTCCTCCAGTTCACAACTCTTGTCCCGGTTTCAACACTACCTTTCAACACTGCGTAAGCCTGAAGGTGCCCCTTATTCCTTTGTCCCTTCCCAGTCTTCATGAAAGTGCATTTTTCAGATGTTTTGACATGTTGCTCGTTAGCTTGCTTTTCTCATATTCGGTGTGTGGATTTGGTGAACATTTATTTATTCTTAGGTTGTGACATGGTTGGTGTGTTTTCCCATCCTTGAAAGTCCACAGGAATCTGCACACATGCAAAAATCCAGGGGCTCTGAGTTGCACTTCTGTCAGAGGTTAGGCTTCAGGAATTGCACGCCTGACTTCCTTGTTGGTTTCTGGTCATTGTCCTGGTTTCTTTTGACAATGCACAAAGAATCTATCATCCATTATTTCAGATAGGTAGTCTAAATCGGGCTTGAAGTCAGACAGACCTGGGTTTTAATCCCAGCCCCGCTACCTCCTGTTATTTAACCTGGTTAAGTTGCTTTACCCCTGTATACTCTATTTTCCTCATCTATAAAATGGTTATAATAATATCTACTTAATATGGTTATTATGAGAATTAAATAAAATTATATTTATAAAGCATTTATCCCAATGCCTGGTGCATAGCAAATACTCAGTAAATTATAGGCATTATTATTATTATTGTTGTTATTTTTTAGCTAAATGTTTTGGGAGCCTGTGATACTTTCAGCTTGGAGTCTCAAGTCTTCTAAGTTTCCCAGGCATTCTGCATTTGCTTCCTCTCCTCTTTACCGTGTCTGTTTCCAGCCTGTGCCACCTCTGGTGTCTGTGTGGAAGTTTCTGACGAGGTGGCACATGGGTGGACATGCCTATCCAGGAGCCTGGGGGCAACACAGGTCTTCCAGATTCCACTAGCACATCTGCCTTTGGTTCTCTCTCAATCTGAAGTAACTTGAATTAGTGAGATAAAGTAAGATATGATTTATTCACCCCAAGATGCCCTTAAAATGTGAATTATCACCATTATCTTGCCTTGCACAAACCATAGCTTTTATTTATTAGTTTTGCAACCTTAGGAAACAAAGATGATTACTTTGAAGCAACCAAGTTTTCACTTGGAACATACCACACAATTTCCCTGGGTTATAGTCATAGAAACATTTGCCAGTGAATGTCTTGTTAATTCATTATTCAGCACACATTTTTTGAATGTCTGCCATTCAGAGTACAAAGAGGGAGGTACAAACAGAAGCATTGTGGAAAGTCACAGAGAAGAGGGGTCAGGAGAGGCGGTACCTTCCTGAGTTATTTTCCAGAAGGGATGCTGTGATCAGGCCTCAACCTGCCTTTGTAACCTTATATTTCATGATTCCCCTTCTCAGTTCATTTCTCATGACACTGAACATATTCAGTGTTTTTCAAATACAGCTTGCACTTTCTTCCTTCCTTTTATTTATTTCAGTGATTCTCTATGCTTCTTCCCTGTTATCTGTATCTCTAAGCACTGCCCATTCTTCAAGTCCTAGCATGACCACCACCTTTTCAATAAAGCCTTCTTCGATATGCTTGAATACAATTCATTGTTCTTTATTTTGAACCCATATGACATCTAGTCTTGCCTGTCTTATGGTACTGCCACTTTTTTTTTTTGCTCTGTGTTGGTGTTATTTATGTATCTATTTACTCTCCCTTGTTAGGCTTATAAACATCATGAAGGAAGGATTTACCCACAATTCACTTTGTATTCCACACAATGACTAGTACATCACTTTGTATAGATTAAGTATTCATTTTTGGTAAGTGAATAAATTAGTGAATGAATGAGTTGGGTCTGAAGATGAGCCTTGACAGGTGGATAAGATTTGGATAAAAGGAGGAGAGAAGAGAGTATCATGACAGGCTTAGGAAATGAAAAACACGAGATTCAGCTTGCAGGCTCAGTTCTCAGAATCGTTCCTGGAATTCAAGATCTGTAATAGGAGGATGGGACAATGATGGAGAAGGGGCTCCTTATAGTTTGTTCACTCACTGATGAGAGGCAGAGCCCCGAGCCACTGGACACTTTGGTGGTGGCCTACATTGCTCCTAGGATGACTGCAGGCTGGTCAGCCTCTGCCCGCCTGGCTGTGCAGCCTGTCCAAGCTGAGGCCACAGTGTTCTGTACGAGGCAGTAGCTTGTGATTCATATACTCTCTGTGTTCCCGGACAGAACAGATGTCTGTCTGATTTTTTCTGCTTAATGATGATGGCAGGTTCCCAATGATAAAAATCCAACTTCACATTTTCTGAAACACTGTGGCTGAGAAATTCTGTTTGGCCACTTCTGAGGCCCAGCCTCCCCCTTTGCAGGGAATCTTGGATTTTGCAAATTAATATGGACAGAGAGTGCAGCGGGAGGTAGTGGCGGCAGCACTTAGCCTTGCTCAGTTGGAGCACGTGATTGGAGGGGGTTCTGGGCGTGGTCTCCACCCAAATATCTTTGCTTTTCTGCATTCCTTTCTCCCTTACTAACAATAGGGCCTTTGCTGATCTTGTAAATCCATTACCATGAGAGAGTATTTGGCATTCGAAATAGTTTCTTTTTACAAGTTACTCTTTGGAAGGGGGAATCTATTAGCTGCTCCTTAGTTATTAGTGAAGAGCCAATCAGATCCTTTCTTGTAACAGAATGATTTGGGGAATGGAAAAGGAGTAGGATAGGGCTAGAGTGGAAATACAGGTTCAGAGCCTGAAAAGGTGCCCCAGGATCTCAGAGTGGTACATCTCTATAATTTTTTTTTTTCCCGAGGAAGATACACCCTGAGCTAACATCTGTGCCAGTCTTCCTCTATTTTGTATGTGGGTTGCAACCACAGCATGGCTGCTGACGAGTGGTATGGGTCTGTGCCTGGGAACCAAACCCCGGCCACCGAAGCAGAGTGCGCTGAATTTAACCACTAGGCCGTGGGGCCGGCACCTCCATAATGGTGTTCTTTTTTCTGCGTTTTTTTCCCCCAGCTTTATTGAGATATAATTGACGTATAACATTGTGTAAGTTAAAGGTGTTCAATGTGTTGATTTGATACACTTATATATTTCAAAATGCTTACCACCATAGCGGTAGCTAACACCCCCATTATGTCACCTGATTACTACTTTTTTTCTCGTGAGAACATTTAAGATTTACTCTCTTAACAACTTTCAAGTATATAATACGGTATTAACTATAATCACCATGCTGTACATTTGGTCCCCAGAACTTATTCATCTTATTACTGGGAGTTTGTAACCTTTGACCAACATCTCTCCATTTCCTCCACTCCCTAGCCCCTGGAAACCATCATTCTACTCTCTGTTTCTATGAGTCCAGCTTTTTTAGATGCCACATATAAATGAGATCATCCAGTATTTGTCTGCCTCTGTCTGACTTATTTCACTTAGTGTAATGCCCTCAAGTTTCATCCATGTTGTCACAAATGGCAGGATTTCCTTTTTTTTTGGCTGAATAATATTCCAATGTGTGTGTGTCTGTGTGTGTGTATGTGTGTATACCACATCTTCTTTATCCATTCATTCATTGGTGTACACTTAAGTTGTTTCTACATCCTGGCTATTGTAACTAATGCTGCAATGAACATGGGGGTGCAGATATCTCTTTGAGATCCTGCTTTCATTTCCTTTTGATATCCCCCAGAAGTGGGATTGCTGGATTATATGGTAGTTCTATTTTTGAGTTTTTGAGGAACCTCC